CACCAGCTGTGCTGACTGGGGTTTCTGGGAGTTGCAGTTCAAAAGCATCTGATTAACAAAGGTTAAGAACCACTGCCTACAGGACTACACGCAGAACTGCAAGCAAAAAAAAAGCCTCCTGTTTACTAAGGGGCAGTTTAAATCGCATAGACCCAAATTCCCTGGTGCGACTTAAGAAATTCACATTTCCGTGGCTGGGTACAGCGAGTGTCACAGAAGAATGGGGCGACAGACCAGATCCCCGTCCTGTATTCTAACCACTTCACTACATTTCCTTTTCAGTTGTAGGCTTGAACAATGGAAAACTGGACGTTTTCGACAACTATAAAACGTTTTCCTCACAAAACTTAAAACATTTTCCCATGGCAGGAGGTGGTGCCGCTAATGTAACATAGTCAAGACACTTATTTATTTATTTATTTATTTATTTATTTATTTATTCATTCCATTTTTTAGGCAATGCCATTCCTTCCCCACGTTAAACTCAACTACCGCCACTCCTTTCACCTCAAAAAAATCACAATCGGGGAATCAGGCCGTTTATAGCCTCGTTTCGAATTTCCCGAGCCTCGCGAGAGGACGGGGCTGAAATCTTGCGAGAGACGGGAATCTGCTTGAAAGACGCCTGGTGTGGGTTTTTTTCTGGGACCCGCGGCAACTGTCTTCCCCCCCCCCCCTTTTCCAGCGGCCGTTGCCGCGGTTCGGGCGGCGGACGGGGAACTCGCGCCTTTCCTGGGTTGCTCCTTTAGACCGGTTGCCTGTGTGGTGGGGTCTGACTGTAAGCACCATCTGGGAGCAGAGACCGTCGTCTTTCCGCTTGGGTGCAAAAGCAAGGCTTTCTGGGCTTGTCTGGCTCTGACGTTGTGTTAGTGGATTAATTAATTAATTACCGTATATGCCGGCATACAAGACGAGTTTTGGGCCCCCCCAAAACATGCCTCCAAGTGGGGGGGCCGTCTTGTACGCCGGGTGTCAGGAAGAAGGAGCCGCCGCCGAGAGAGTGATCCGGGGCGCGCTGGCCGGGGAGGAAGGCAGGTGACGAGGCAGGGAGGTGAAGGGAGGGAAGCCGCACGCTCGCCCCACCAGTTTCCCTCTTCCTCCTCCTCCTCCTCCGTTCTCCCTCTTCCTCCTCCTCCTGACGCCCCGGGGAGGGAGGAAGGCAGCGAGGCGAAAGGAGGGAAGCCGCTCGCTCGCGCGTCCGCCCCCTCCCACTTTCCCTCTTCCTCCTCCTCCCCCTCCTCCTGCCGCCGCCCCCCCCCCAGCCTCTTCCCGGCGCCGCATTTTGGGGGGTCGTCTAATACGGCCCGTCGCCTTGTACGGCGGCATATACGGTGATATTTGTGGCACCCAATAAAGTCTGCTGCGGGAAGGGGGGGGGGAAGAAAAGAAACCTGGTGGGAATTTTTACCTAGAAACACTTTTTTGGTAGTGTTCAGAATATATTTATTTATTTATTGTCATTGTAAGTATATACACAGTACTGTATACCCATACAATGAAATTCACATTGTATGTGAATGTAGAAATTATTGCTTCCTATTCTGAATAAAATAAACAGTTTGCTCTTTTAATGAATAAGCTCTCTGGAAGTGAAGATTTGTTGTTGTTTTTTGAACTATCTGTTTTTTTTTCTGAACTATCTGTAACGTACTTTGCTGGAAGGGATCAAGAATGACAACAGGAGATCTCCCGCTAACCTCTTAATTTAGCGCATTGTGGCTGTTTTATTCTAAATGCATGAAAGTATGGACGGCTTGGGTTTTTGTAAGCAAATAAATATTTGTCTAGGAGCTTAAGTCTGAAATTTATTGTGAGACTCAAAATTCATTGCGAGAGCTAGGAAACTGGAGCTGTGTTTTGGGGAGAGCCGGCATGTCTGTCATGCAGCAGGTGTCTGTCATTTTAAAAAGCAGAATGAATTCTGCAAAAGGAGGACACCTTATAGGCGGCCCAAGGAGTATAATTCCTGAGCGTCTGAGGTGATGGAGGCTGGAAATGCTGCAGAGACCCAGGGAAAAGGACTGCTTCTTTTGATTTTCTCTCTCCCTCTTCCTATCATTTGTCCCTCCTTTCCTCTGCCCTGTTTTGATTCTGAGGCCCACACCTGTCGGAGTATAGGAATGATGCATGTTCATGTCCTACAGGACTACACGCAGAACTGCAAGCAAAAAAAAATCTCCTGTTTATTAAGGGGCAATTTAAATCGCCTAGACCCGAATTCCCTGGTGCGATTTAAGAAATTCGCATTTCCGTGGCTGAGTACAGCGAGTGTCACAACAGAACGGGGCGACCGACCAGATCCCAGCCCTGTGCTCTACCCACTACACGGCATTGCCTTTTCAGCTGCCAGCTCGAACAATAGAAAACTGGACGTTTTCGACAACGAACTATAAAACGTTTTCCTCGCAAAACTTAAAAGATTTCCCCATGGCAGGCGGTGCCGCTAATATAACGTAGTCAAGACGCTGCCATTCCTTCCCCTCAAGTTAAATTCAACGACCGCCACCCCTTTCGCCTCAAAAAAAAAAAAGTCGGTTGGGCCGAGAGGAACCAGGCCTTTTATAGCCTCCTCTCAAACTCGCGCGATATGGCCGCGTTCCCGAGCATCGCGAGACGACGGGGCTGAGATCTCGCGAGAGACGGGAATCTGCTTGAGAGACGCCTGGTGTGTTTTTTTTTCCTCGGGACCCGCGGCAATTGTCTTCCCCCTCCCGTTTCCTGCGGTGGTTGCAGCGGTTCGGGCGGCGGGCGGGGGACTCGCGCCTCTGCTGGATTGCTCCTTATGGCCGGTTGCCTGTGTGTGGGGTCTGACTTTTGACTGTAAGCACCATCTGGGAGCAGAGTCCGTCGTCTTTCCGCTTGGGTGCAAAAGCAAGGCTTTCTGGGCTTGTCTGGCTCTGGCGTTCTGTTAGTGAATTAATTAATTAATTAATATTTGTGGCACCCAATAAAGTCTGCTGCGGGGAGGGAGTGGGGGAGAAAGAAAAGAAACCTGGTGGGAATTGTTACCTAGAAACACTTTTTTGGTAGTGTTCAGAATATATTTATTTATTGTCATTGTAAGTATATACACAGTACTGTATACCCATACAATGAAATTCACATTGTATGTGAATATAGAAATTATTGCTTCCTATTCTGGATAGAATAACCAGTTTGCTCTTTTAATGAGTAAGCTCTCTGGAAGTGACGATTTGTTGTTGTTTTTTGAACTATCTGTGTTTTTTTTCTGAACTATCTGTAAAGTAGTTTGCTGGAAGGGATCAAGAATGGCAACAGGAGATCTCCCTCCCTCTAACCTCTTAATTTAGCGCATTGTGGCTGTTTTATTCTAAATGCATGAAAGTATGGACGGCTTGGGTTTTTGTAAGCAAATAAATATTTGTCTAGGAGCTTAAGTCTGAAATTTATTGTGAGACTCAAAATTCATTGCGAGAGCTAGGAAACTGGAGCTGTGTTTTGGGGAGAGCCGGCATGTCTGTCATGCAGCAGGTGTCTGTCATTTTAAAAAGCAGAATGAATTCTGCAAAAGGAGGACACCTTATAGGCGGCCCAAGGAGTATAATTCCTGAGCGTCTGAGGTGATGGAGGCTGGAAATGCTGCAGAGACCCAGGGAAAAGGACTGCTTCTTTTGATTTTCTCTCTCCCTCTTCCTATCATTTGTCCCTCCTTTCCTCTGCCCTGTTTTGATTCTGAGGACCACACCTGTCAGAGTATAGGAATGATGCATGTTCATCCATGCCTAGTTTCCACAAAGATTGTCCCTATTGCACATCACATGTAACTAATACACCGGATTCTATTGTCCAGTCCATCTCTTTTAGCCCAGAATAAGATCTACCAAATTGCTCATCATTTTCTCTCTTTGTGTTCACACTCTTCACGCCCTTTTGCTCAAAAGATCTGTGACTTAATACCATGCTTTTTTTTGTATAGCTCTGGCAATACATCTGCCAGAGAACACCATTTGGTTACTCTCCTTAAGAAAATATCTAATGTGGTATTTATGAGTTTGAAAATAGTGGAATGGGAGAGTTAGCTGGTGACTTGGAGAAACATTCCTCCACTGCTTTTAATATGCAGATGTGATGAATAAAAAAAATACCTGTTACATTTTATTACTTTCTCTGAACCCTGGAATCCTTGAGGGTGAAAATAAACCACGCAGAAGACACATCTTGACATCTTTCTCCTTCCCATTTTCTGCTTTATAATCTCCATTCAGACCCTTTCTGCATTATTCTACTTTATGGGAGGGTTATTCTCATTCTCTGTTTCTTAGACTTTGTCCTGTAGACGGGAACGGGGGAAGGAGCCCAGACGTGGCAACACATTCCCAAGCCCCTGCAGGACCACCATGGCATATGATGACTCCAAGAAAAAAGAAGGTAGGATTGTTTCATAATCTGAGAGGTGTTACATCCATGAAGTGAGCGGCTAGAAAAGAAAACCAGTGTCCTGCATGGATTGGGTTTCTGCAGCATTCCACATCCCATCCTTATCCTCAGAGATTGGAGAGCACCTGGATTGAAACAAGAGTCTCACAAATGATAATTCAAGAGTGCTGATTAACTATTGGCCACATAGTACTTTTTATAATCCCATCAACTCTGCAAAATTACAAACCTGTTTTAGGGACTAAATCCAGATTTATACAGCACAACACTGATCCCTAGGCTTAATGCTCAGCCTTTTCTGTTCTTGTCATCCCTTGGAACAAAATAAGAGTAGGACATTTCTCCCTTCCCTGTGGCAGCATAAAATTCAGAGCATTTCCCCAAAGCATGGGACAGTGCTGTCTTGTAGTGTTTAGATCCCACTGTTGTTTTGTGTGTGTGTGTGTGTAATTTGTTGCTTGCTTTTGTGAATCCTGCATTTCATGTGGCCACAATGACTACTCTGATGGTGGGGAATCAATTTATTTCCTGATGTAAATGTATTTCTTCCTTTAGACTGCTTAGAGAGTGATCAGGTTGATGGTCTGGGACTAGTAGCAGGCAGAACCCAGCGGGAAAAGAAACGTTCCTACAAGGATCTACTTCGGGAGGAGGAGGAGATAGCTGCTCAGGTCAGAAAGAATTCAAAGAAACAGCTGAAGGTGAGAGCGTCCAAGGAGACATTTGTCATTATGACTTGGTTGAGAAGGCTGCAGCTTGTATCAGAATATACTGGAAATCTTTCAGCATTCCTTATAATAGAAACAAATAATTAGGGACTCTAAAGTTTTCTTGTGCATGTTTGTGTGGGGCAGGTGTGAAGAGGGCTATATTATGCCCATTATTGTAGAATAGAGCAGGGCTATATTCTAGTATTGTGCTTCCAAACCTGGCCTAGTATATTCCTCTAGAAGTTCACAAGCAGGGCATTTTGGAGAATGCTATCTCTTGTTGCTAGGATCTGGTACTCAGAGGTATATTCTTACGGAAATTCCCTCTAGGTAATATGTCGCAGGAATACGAGTTCATCTGTCTATAATACTAACTTCCTGGTTCTGCATAAGACACTAAAGAAATGTAGTGTGACAAAACTCTTTGGAAGAAATTTTCACTTAACAAATGTAGGGTGATAGGAATCCATTATCTGAATTCAGATTTCTGGTGACATGCCAGAAATGATCCATGTAACTTTCTTTACTCTCTGCCCCTGTTACTTAGCTCTTTTTGATTTTTTTTTGCTCCACAACTGGTTGACACAGTTGTGGAGCAAAGAAAATTCAAGTGGATTGTAGTGGATTGTAATCCATAAAAGCTCATACAGTGGTGCCTTGCACAGCGAGGTTAATCCGTTCTGGATTAACCCTCGCTGTGTGAAACATCGCTCAACGGGAAGTAAAAACCAATTGGAACGCATTAAACAGCATTTAATGCGTTCCAATTGATTGATTTACTCACCGTTGTGCGATGCTGGCAGCCATTTTCGCGCCCTCCCCTCGCTGAACGAGGGCGCGAAAATGGCTGCGAACAGCTGTCCGGCGGGTCCAAAATGGCCGCCGGAACAGCCGAAATGGCCGGCCACAGCGTTTTCGCGCCCTTGGTAAGCGAGGGGAGTGCGCGAAAACGCTGCGCGCAGCCATTTCGGCTGTTCCGGCAGCGTTTTTGCGCCCTCCCCTCGCTTACCAAGGGCGCGAAAACGCTGCACGTGGCCATTTTGGGGTCGCGCGGTGGCCATTTTGGACCCGCCGATCAGGTGATCGGCGGGGCGCGAAGCGAAGGGCGGTGAGCGAACGGCTTACCGACCTTCGCTCTGTGAATTGTGCCCTATTCCGGTGCCGTTTTGCGATCGCATTTGCGATCGCAAAAATGGCACCGTTGTGCGATTTCGTCGCTCTACGGAGCGACCGTTGTGCGAGGCACCACTGTAAATCTGTTCACTTTAGTAATAATAGTACTTGCATGCCATCGAGTCAGTTCTGACATATGTCTTAAAGTTATCCTAATACAGTATCTTTATCTAATATCAAAATGCCAGATGCAGGGGAGTGGTATCAGGAGATAGGTATCTAGTTGTTTCGTGTGCTCCCAGAGGCATCTAGTGGGGCCACTGTGAGATACTGTACAGGAAGCTGGACTAGATGGGCCCTTGGCCTGATCCAGCATGGATGTTCTTATGCTCTTTACTTCAGATTTTCTTCTGGGTTTTATTGTTGTCACTGTTACTGAAAAAGACTAATATGGCTGCATTTCTGAAAACGTTGTAATGGAAAATATCGCATTGAGAAAAGTGAGAGAATAAGATTCTTAGGGTTTCATATAAGTCAAGGTGGATATAAAAGTCTTACTACTACTCCAGAACTTATGGTCTTAATTAAAATGGTGTCCTACTTATTCTCTAGCCAGGATGAGAAATGTAACTTTTTATCTGCTCCTTGTTTCAGAAATCTTATTTTTGGAATTTTGAAAAACTGACATTTGAATTGAAAATTGAATGATTGTTACAAAATATATTGTTTTGGCTGTTTAGATCATTTTTACAACGTTAACAAAATGCAAACTGATATATTGTTGTCTTCCTGATTCTGCAGATAGCCTGAAAAATAATGAGGTGTGATCTACCTCATTCAGTTCCTTGGGGATGTTAATACAGACAGCCTTTCCTCAAAACATTCACTTTGAGCTGAAATTTCTCCTATTAGTCTAGAGGTGATTATTTGTGTTTTTTTAAAAAATAATAATACTAATTCGGCTAGGAGAAATTGTTTTCCACTTTTAAGTGGAGAAATACTGATTTCTGTTGATAGCAGTTTTCTAAAATTCAAACAGTTCCTTGCATCTTTATTTCCAAAGTCTAGAAGTGCCCTGTAGTATATAGATTTATGAGCAAATATGGACAATTTGTGACCTTCCAAAGATTGTTGGACTGCCACTGTCTTTTTCCTCACCATTTGCTTTGCTGGCTAAAACTGATGCGAGTTGCAATCCAGTAATCTCTTGGAGGTAAAATTCTCCCCTGCCCCCTGGTATATATATTTAACTTGTTCTTTTCTTTAAAAAGGTGTTACCTTCTTTTACAGGAGAGTGAACTCTTCTTATTGGGGGCAGAGCCTCATAAGAAGAAGAGGAAGCATTCCTCCAATGAACACGGATACAAAGGTATGCATGACAGACAATCCAGTGAGGGATGTGATCAAAGGTGGCTCTTTCCAGGTTCTTATTGTACCGAAAAGCAAGAATCTACACACCTCGTTTTTTTGGGGAGGGGGTCTGTTTTTCTTTTTTCATTAGTCCCAAAATCCAACAGCCAAGTCTTTGTACAAAATAGTCATTCACAAAAATGGATGAACACAGAATTAGAATTATAGAAGATAATACTGTTCATCCCATGAATTTGTTTTCTGTGTCACTGTTGAATTGGCAGTACTTTTGCAGGAAAGTCAGTTCCTGCTGCCCCCAGAGCTTTGTTTCGGCAGCAAAATTTAGGTTGAGGGGAACTGCTGAGATTCTTAAAATACTGGGTGTGGGAAATCAGTCATGAACTACCATATATCACCTGGAGATCTACCTGTAGATAGATTTACCTTGATTTATCTTCTGCTCATCTCTGCTTAAAACCAGTGATGAGAAATCATGGGATCTGGAAGATCACACTTGGTTACTCCTGCTCTTGGCTAACGGAACTGCACACAATTGCGAAGTTATCAGATATAGAGTACATTCCACTATGGGGATCTTTTTAGATATAGAGGAATATTAGTAATGTTACAATTTAATATAAACTAATTATTGAAAGAGAAGTCATTAATCATTTGTTATTTATTTCCTGTTTTCTGCAACATGCCGGAACATGTCCTTTAAATATAGATAGGTGCACTTGTTTTTTTGCTCCACCACCTAAAATTGGACAGTTGAAATGCAGTATACATGGGACTGTCTTTAAAAATGTTCTGGAAATGTCAAATTATATAAAATACAACTACTAGAAGATAGGTGTCTGCATTTTCACCACCTCCCATCACATTTTCACATCTGATCTAGTGTGCTGTTTTAAACCATACATGTTGTCCTGTTTTCCCAAAAATAAGACCTAACCTGAAAATAAGCCCTACCCCAAATATAATTCCCAATTAAGTGAAATCCTGCCCTGCACCATTGTTCAGCAACCAGAAGATGACATGACAATATTTGAATAAATGTATATTGTTATACATAGAAAAAATAAAACATCCCCTGAAAATAAGCCTTAATGTGTTTTTTGGAGCAAACATTAATATAAGGCCCTGTCTTTATTTTCGGGGAAACACGATACCTGCAACAGAAAAGTTATCTTCAGTACTATTTTCAGTTATTTGACTTCTTAGCTATGGAAAGTGCTGCTCAGAAAGGTCCAGTTGCTGTCTACATTAATGTCTTTTCTATCACAAGAAAAGTCCTTTTGCATTTCCCTGTACTTTTAAAATTACATTGTGGTTTCATGAAGTTATACCTCTGGGTATTTTATTACTCTGCCCTCAGTTTTAGATTGATCTGTGGCTACAGTGTTTCTTTGACTTTGTTTCCTGTTAAACTAAACACCAGAAATTGTTTTAATCTTGTAGTTTGTTTTAATCTCTGAGCAGTTTCTCATGAATGTGAATTATGAGATGCGCTATAAATTGTACTGATATACAATAACAGAACCTACCAAAACTGATATGGTTTAGCAGGTATAAGCTCCAAGAGGACCTAATCTCTCTGGACAAACTGCCGTGGGATCTTGAAATGTGCATAGGTGTAGATGTGTTTGATGTTGGATGTGCACGTTCTCTCTTTCAATGTTCTTTCTTCCTGCAACTCTTTCAGATCTTTCCCCTTTTGAGCTATCCCTGCCTTTGGAGTCATCATCCAAGAACAAGAAGAAGCTTGTTTTGACATCCCCTTCTGCTGATACTGCCATGGATTTACTTAAGGCCATTACTTCACCTTTGGCTACTGGCTCCAAGTCCTCTAAAAGGACCTCTGAAAAATCATCTCATTCCTCATTCCCGGCCTCTGGTCATTCAGAGGGCAAGAAGGACCACCACAAGAAAAAGCTGAGTGGGAGCAGCAGTGACTTGTCGGTGGATGATGGCACTGTCCATAAGTCCAAAAAGATGAAACCTCCCTTGCTGAACACTGAAATGCTGACTTTGAGGGAGCCTGATGGCTTAAAGATGAAACTCATCCTCTCACCTAAAGAAAAGGGAGGGAGTGCAGGAGAAGAGCCCTTTCCACATGCTCCAGCCATTAAAAAACCTTCTAAAAAGTCCACTCGGGATGAGCAGGGCTCTCAACTCTCAAGTCATGACGTGCATAGCCTCTTGAAGTCTTCCCGAAAGAAGCACAAGCCACCAGCAGATCCACACACCCCTCCAGCCGCTGACAGCTTCAGCCCAGATGCATCCCTTTTTTCAGAGGGCCAAGGCAGTGAGTTTGAGCTTTCAGGCATGGAACCCCAACTAGAATCTGGTTCATCTTCTGGAGGTGAGCTGGAAGCTGGAGAGCTGATCATCGACGATTCCTACCGGGAGATAAAGAAGAAGAAGAAATCAAAGAAGAGTAAAAAGAAGAAGGACAAGGAGAAGCACAGGGAGAAGAAGCACTCCAAGTCAAAGAAGAGCTCGGGGCTGTCATCTTCTTTGGCAGTGGCAGAGGTCACAGCCCCACTGCCAGTCTCGCCCACCAGCACATCTTTTGCCATTCCTGTTCCTCCACCTCCCTCGCTGTCGCCCCCTGTCTTCCATGCAGACGGCCAGGGTGAGAAGAAGAAGAAGAAAGAAGAAAAAGAGAAGGCTGAGAAACTAGAGAAAGAAAAGGTAAAAAGCAATCACCTGGCAAAATGGTGACACATGATGATTGCTCTTTTTCTAGTAATGCCAGCTTGTTTGCGGCCACAGATCTGAAGGTCCACATTCACTGTTTTGGGGTAAAGGAAAAGGACTTTCTCTTTCAAAATTTCTGCTGTCACAAGTAGCCTTTTAGCGGTTGTTTTTGTAAAATTAACCCTACGAGTGGGAACCAGACATACTTACATTACAGTCTTGCAAAACTGAAGGCATCTGCAGAAATACTTTTACCTTTAAGAGATGCCTGCTTTTCTCCCATAAGTGTTTGGCATAAAAATCAGATTATTGGATTACTTTGTAGCTGTCCGTTTGGAAAGGTGTAGTTAGCTGACACATGCCATATAGAAAAGAATTTAAACATAGTCTGCTACTGCCTTATGATGGAGGGCACCGCCAGAAGATAGTTGTTTAGAAAGCTCCGTGGACACTAGGAAGAAATTGGTACTTGTATCTGTTTTACAAAAATATTCCCTTTTTTTCCCTACCTCTGTTTAGCCAAAGAAGAAAAACATGTCTGCCTATCAAGTATTCTGTAAAGAATATCGTGTAAATATTGTGGCTGAACATCCAGGAATAGGTAAAATGCCAGCCTTGTAAGGTCTGGGTTTGTTATTGTTTGTTGTTGTGTAGTAATTTCCATTCTACTTTTCTGGTGCAGTTGCATCAGGATAAAAAACAGAAATGCTTTGAGCAATTTAAGCATTTAGCAAGGCCTACTTTTTCCTAACTGCCACCACCGGAGTCTGACTTCAGTTAAGAGTATTCCTGAAGCAATTTATATGTTAAAAATTCAAATCCATAATGGTGAATTAAGAAATAAGAAAAGCAAATTACCAGTGCAAAAGGGCATAAACAGAAAGGAACTGACTTATAAATTCAGACCTAAAAGCTCAGGACAATACAGGTATTAGAGCTTTTAGTAGGTCCTAATGAAGATTCAGGCTTGACATGTGACAGACCTCCTTATTAAGAGAATCTAAAGCCAAAGTGCCACTGAAAAGGCATTATTTCAGTTTATTTCCTACTCCACTACAAAACCAGTCCAATCCAAGAAAGGGCCTTTGCGACTGATCATGTATTACATGGGCAGGTTCATGTGGGAACAGGCACTCCTTAAGGTGCCTAGATTCTGTGTCATTTAAACCTCTAAAGATTAAAATGTTAGATTGACTTGTGTTTGGACATAGTTTGGGATTTCCTGTACTTGTTCAAAGGCTGGGAAATCAGGTTCCATTCACCCAGTATTTGTTGTAATCTAGTTCTTGTGTTTTAAGATGCCAGCAGCTTTCAGCCATTCTTCAGAAGCAGGCATGTGTAAAAACACATGGCAGTGATTATAATGCTTAGGACAATCCAGAAGGAGAGCACAGTTTGTATAGAAGAAATGCTTTAATGCTTGATACAGCCTTGCCTTTCCCAGTTGTGATTTGAATGCCCCTTTCTGAGTCGATCTTACGACTGCTTGGTCTTCTGACCCTGCAGTACAGGCTTCTGCGGTTTAGCCCGCAGCGCCCCCACGTCCCTTAGATTTGTGAGCATGCCTACTCAGAATTAAGTGTTGTTGAGTTCAGTGCAGAGAACTGCTGCCTGAAGGTCTGAAAATTAATGATTTTTTGAGCAAATTATTTTCTTCAGTACTTGTGATTATAATCCCAAAGTTCATGTTCTGAAACTCAGGGCATTTTCAAAAATTCAAGATGGCACTGTCAGTATAGCTTGCAGGACATGGAGAATCAAAACAGAGGTGCTTTTTTCCTGAACAGCCAAAAGCAAATAGATTTTGGCAGATAGAGATTCTGCCGCCCCAAAAACCCAGTTCAGACTTCCCAGTCATTTTATGGATTATGTAATAAACCAAAACTGCTTGACCCTCTTATTAGTAACTTGTATTTGCATTATGCCTTTTCTTTGTTTCTGCTCGTTTATCATCTACAGCTGTTCCTGGATAGGGCATAATCATCCAAGTTTTGGCTGTAACTGGCACAGAGATTGATTGCAGTGAGATGGGAACATACTACACTAGTGTAAAGGATATATCTTATTGGGCTGATTATTTGATTATCATCCCATTTCAGGGTTCTGATACTCACCTAGCAAGCCAAAAATAATTTGGACTACTAAAGTAGTAGATCTGCAACGGGGGGGGGGGCACCAAATTTTTGTAATTTATTGTATACCACTAAAAAGAAGCCTTTTGTGTTGTGGTTCTCCTTTATGTGAAACACTCTCCATCTGGAGGTGCAACTGATATAGAGCTTGCATTCATTCTAGCACAAGGTCAAAACTTTTCTGTTTGCCCAGGCATTATAAGCTAGTCAGTCCATTTGCTGGTGTTTCTATTGCCTTCCATTTCAAATGCCTTCCATTTTTAGGAGAAGAAAACAGGAAAATATAATCTGTTTTCTTCGCTCCATAAGACGCACAGACTTTCCACCCCCCCTGTTTTGTGGGAGAAAAGTGTGGTCTTATTTAGATACTTATAACCCATTTCTCCTCCAATGAGAGAGAGAGAGAGAGAGAGAATGAATAGCATTTCAGAAAGGCATGTAGATAGAAAAAATAGTTCTTAGTGGGTAACAGGTATAAACAGTGTAAATGCTGTATTTACCCACATCTGTAGGTACCCATTATTTTTATACCCCGCACCATCTATTACTGGGTGCTGAATTGTATATCCATATCTGGAATAAAAACCACCCAAATAAGCTTTCCCATTTACTGTCCCATATCTGCTATTGATGTGGTTATTCTCAGATATGCGTACCCACTGAGGCAAGGTCAGTGGAATTTAATAACTTCACTTACCAAGTGATGTCAAGCAGATTCACATGTCCTTATTTCACAAGTTACCTGTCTAATTGGGTTACTCGCTATGTGTGCTGACATATAAATATTTGTTTGTTTATTTATCCCCCCCCCCCGGCCTTCTTCCTTAAAAGGACCCAAGGCAGCTTGTTCACCTAGTTCATTCTTTTGTTTTCATGACCTGACCTTTGGTCAAGCGTGTGTTTGCTGGTATTTTATTGCCTTTTATTATTATGTTTTATGTTACTGTATATTTATTTTTTAACCACCCATCTTTGGATGAAGATGTCCAAAACATACATGACTCCTCGGTCCAGGCTGTTAACTAAATATGCATGAGAGAGTCAAATTTCTCGGGGACATTTGAAAACTCTATTTTTTATTCTGAACTGCTTATCTTCTCTGGTTCCCTGTTAGATTTTGGTGAACTGAGCAAAAAACTGGCAGAAGTTTGGAAACAGCTTCCAGAGAAAGAGAAACTGGTAAATATTTGAGAATATATTTTCATTAAAAGAAAGCTATAGAGATCTGGCTTGGCCCTAGGACGTGGCCACCATAACTGTAGCATTAATTCATTTCCCACATTTTACTTGTGTGTGACATACGCTTCCCCAGAGTTGTGATTACAATATGTCAACATTCAGTCAGGAAAATAATTTTGCCCAGCAGTTTGCTGTATAAATAGCACCATTAGAGTCCTTTGGACTACTAACAAAGGCTTTTAAACACTTATTTTGTCTATTCTTTGAAGGCTTGGAAGCAGAAGGCTCAGTATTTGCAACACAAGCAGAACAAGGCAGAGGCTACCACAGTGAAAAGGAAAGCAACATCATCTGAGGGTGCCCCAAAACTGAAAGGTAACCTACATTTCCATGGTTCATAAGTTTCACCAATCAGCGTGTTGCTTACAAACTCCAGGACATTTTTCTCCCAAAACACTGTATTGTAATAGAGTACTATTTATTGTAGTGTTACAGGTCAGTGTGGTATGCTATTTGCTGGCTTTTATTTTAAAAATTCTTACAAATTTGATGTGTATCTTAATTGTATTTTTAAAATGAGATGGAAGAAATGACAAAAATGGGAGAGGGGATTGGTTTGTGTAAATAGCAAAAGAGCCCTGATATTCAGTTTTTAAGGTCTAAGCCAAGCCCCTAAGTGCTGAACTGGTCAAGGTCAACATTGTTTAGTCTTTTTCCAACAGCACAGTGGTTATGCCAGTGTAACTGGAACAATACCCTATGGCCGGTATGATGAAATACAAAAAATACCATGGCCATCAAGAAAGAGCCTCGTGGCGCAGTGGTTAAAACGCTGTACTGCAGCTAAAACTGTGCTCACAACCTGGGGTTCAAATCCCAGGTAGCCAGCTCAAGGTTGACTCAGCCTTCCATCCTTCCGAGGTCGGTAAAATGAGTACCCAGCTTGCTGGGGGGGGCAATGTGTAGCCTGCATAATTAAATTGTAAACCGCCCGGAGACTGCTTGTAGCGCTATGGGGCGGTATATAAGTCCAATAAATAAATAAAAAGTTCAGAAACAGAAAATTCAGGAGTGTCACTAAGGTGGTCATGGGCTGTCTGCTGATTTGGGCTTTAGCTAGTTCCTTTTTGAGGTAAAGAAAACTCCTCTGCAACAATTTGAATTGTGCCATTAATTGCACTGTTAGAGCAGAATCTCAGTGGTGTGAAATGTTCACAATGAAATGGAAGGGGAGAAGAGTTGTGTTGGCAGTGTCCGAACAATGAAAGTCTGTGTCTAGCAGTTCATCTGGGAGAGAATTCCTATCTCCTCTGTTACTGATGGGGGATTTGTTAGAGAGGTATTCAGATAGTTGGACTTCAGAATGGTAAAGGAATACAATGCTGAAAGTGTTTCATTGTCTGTGTTCAGCTTCTCTAACAGGTGGGCTTTCACCCCATAAGAAATCTCCATCTAGCACTGTAGTGTTGTCATCCTCACCAGTTAAAGTTCCTGAAACAGATCCCATTGATGTAGCTGCACATCTACAATTATTGGGGGAGTCTCTGAGTCTTATTGGACACAGGCTGCAAGAAACAGAGGTAAGTACTAGAACTTCCAGTTATAACGAAGTTGTTTCATTTATATGCAACATAGCTAATTGTACTAGTGTACAACATTCAGGTGACAAAGTGAGGTGACTTGAACTAAGGAAGTGCAGGTTCTGTGTAGAGCTTTCCATTCCAGTAGAGTAAAGCACATATCTTCCATCCCATCTTATGCTACCCTAAAGGATCTTACTAATTGATCAAGATTTCACTATTACATAAACATTGCTAATCATCATGGTCACATTGTCTTTGGTTTTTTAAAAAGCATTAATATGCCTGAAATAAGGACATGAAGGTGGTAGGGAAATCTTGTAATTTCTACTCCTAACACTATTTTTTATTGAACCTAGCTTTATATATGAAACAGGATAAATGTATTGAAAATACATGTAACATTAGCTCTTATTCGTACTTGTAGCGCTATGGGGCGGTATATAAGTCCAATAAATAAATAAATAAATAAAAAGTTCAGAAACAGAAAATTCAGGAGTGTCACTAAGGTGGTCATGGGCTGTCTGCTGATTTGGGCTTTAGCTAGTTCCTTTTTGAGGTAAAGAAAACTCCTCTGCAACAATTTGAATTGTGCCATTAATTGCACTGTTAGAGCAGAATCTCAGTGGTGTGAAATGTTCACAATGAAATGGAAGGGGAGAAGAGTTGTGTTGGCAGTGTCCGAACAATGAAAGTCTGTGTCTAGCAGTTCATCTGGGAGAGAATTCCTATCTCCTCTGTTACTGATGGGGGATTTGTTAGAGAGGTATTCAGATAGTTGGACTTCAGAATGGTAAAGGAATACAATGCTGAAAGTGTTTCATTGTCTGTGTTCAGCTTCTCTAACAGGTGGGCTTTCACCCCATAAGAAATCTCCATCTAGCACTGTAGTGTTGTCATCCTCACCAGTTAAAGTTCCTGAAACAGATCCCATTGATGTAGCTGCACATCTACAATTATTGGGGGAGTCTCTGAGTCTTATTGGACACAGGCTGCAAGAAACAGAGGTAAGTACTAGAACTTCCAGTTATAACGAAGTTGTTTCATTTATATGCAACATAGCTAATTGTACTAGTGTACAACATTCAGGTGACAAAGTGAGGTGACTTGAACTAAGGAAGTGCAGGTTCTGTGTAGAGCTTTCCATTCCAGTAGAGTAAAGCACATATCTTCCATCCCATCTTATGCTACCCTAAAGGATCTTACTAATTGATCAAGATTTCACTATTACATAAACATTGCTAATCATCATGGTCACATTGTCTTTGGTTTTTTAAAAAGCATTAATATGCCTGAAATAAGGACATGAAGGTGGTAGGGAAATCTTGTAATTTCTACTCCTAACACTATTTTTTATTGAACCTAGCTTTATATATGAAACAGGATAAATGTATTGAAAATACATGTAACATTAGCTCTTATTCGTACATGGCATCTGCCAATTAGCTACAGCTCTCATTCCGTGGTATTATTGGGAGATGGTGGTTTGTGCCGACACTACCAGTGTCATTAAATTAAAATACCCATATATGGGTTTTGGCAGTTATCCAAATAGCTTTGCCCTGAAACTATGCTTCCATTAACAGTAAAAAGCTCTTACTTCAAAAAGTATTGTGGAAGAACACTTCACTCAAATTGATTTTATGCTTGTTTACTACTTCATCTACATTTGGAGTCAGAATGGAAGCATGCTCAGTCTAATTTCTGATTTTTAAAACGGTTATTTTTCTGCTTGCTTCTAAAGTTGTTCACAACCTTGTTTTATAACATGTATCTGCAGAAGCAGGTTAAGAATCCCTGAAAGCTTATGCCAATAAAAATGTTTGGCCAAAGGCCTGTTGCTTAACGTTGTAAATTGTATTGCAGTAGAGTAGCTGTCTGGGGAAGGGGTTTTCCAGTTCCAGCAAGGGGCGTCAGCAGGGTTTTCTCCTGGTTGCCTCCTTATTCTGTTTTAATTTAGTCCTTTTAAATCTTTTAAACATCTTTTTATATACAATTTGTCCTTTTTCATCTTTTAAACATCTTTTTATATACAATTTTCAGATAGCTTTTAACATCTACAATTTAAGGTTGTTTTTTTATCTATCCCTTTTGGAAGAAAGGGAGGGCTATAGATATAGAAGCCAGAGACTTTATCCAGTGGATTTAATTAGCCCAGCCCTTGCCAGCGGATTCGTTGACCCTGTTTATGCATATGAAGATAAAGGAATAAATAGCTAAAGGAACATAAATACTTCTTGCCTTGGAAGAAAGGAAAAGTGATTATCAGGCTTAGTGGAAATTCATTGGAAACAAGAAAGATGAGCTACTTTTCCGTGAGTAACAGAACAACGTGGTCAAACAAAGAGATTTTTCAGATAAGCCAGAGAGCTTAATTGAGGACTTCAACTCTATTGGTCATTATTACTGTTGTTGCTTATTACTGTTTCGAGGACTTCAACTCTATTGGTCATTATTAGAGTTGTTTCTTATTACTGTTTTCCATTGTAAACATACAAATGAAGCAACTGAAATAATAGCCTCCTGCTTGATATATGAAGCAGATTTTTAACTTTTAATAAATTTAAGAATCCTGGATGGATGTAGGCGCAGGAGCCGAGTGCTAATGAGTAGACCTGCCAGGTTTATAAAGGCAGCCTCACTTCAGCTCCTTTCCTCTCAGAGGGAGTGAACTTTCAAACAAAACAAGAGGTTCCTAAAATCCAAGAGAAGAAACACCAGCCAACTACAGGGACTAGTAGATGACCAACAGATGACATACCCACAACATTCCCCAAACAGTCCAGGTCGAAGTAAGACTTGGAATTATCTGAAATTATTGTACAGTATCTACCAGAATAACCTGGAGCTATCCATGAACACTGCAGTAGGCCTTTTGAGTCGATGGGGATTGGGTCAATCAGCTTCTCCATTGATTCAAATGGGTCTACTCTAATTGCACAACCCTAATGGAAGTCATGCAGTTTACTGTGTTAAGCAACAGAAATTGGTCATATTCTTATAAGCTGCCACAAGACTGTTTTCTATTCTAAGAGACTAAGGAGGCAATGAGAATACAGACTAGGACTCTAGAGAGCACAGTTTGAATCCCCACTCAGCCATGGAAACTCACTGAGGGAGTGGATCTGGGAGGAAAAAAACTCTTTAAACAGCTCACTTGCCCCAATGTATTTATTTACAGTGGTGCCTCGCTTAACGATCGCACTGTATAACGACGAAAGGGGGAAAAACTCTTTAAACAGCTCACTTGCCCCGAGGTATTTATTTACTCACTTATCCCTAACAAGGCTTTACCTCGCTATGGGCAAAACTCGCTTTGCGAAGATCGGTAAGCGTTTCGCTTACCGATCTTCGCAAAACGAAGCCCGACGATCAGCTGTTCGGCGGCTCCAAAATGGCCGCGCACAGCGTTTTCGCCCCCTGCCCTCGCTTAACGAGGGCGCGAAAATGGCTGCCGGACTCGGGAAGCATCACTGAACGGTGAGTTTTTGGCCCATTTGGAACTTTTGGACTTTTCTGTAGCGTTCAGCGGTGTTTCGCTATAGCAAAGGTTAATCCGGAACGGATTAACCTCGCTATGCTAGGCACCACTGTACTCACTTATCCCTAACAAGGCTTTACCTAGTGATAGGGTTGACTATATGTCGGTTACGACTCAAAAGCACATAACGATAAACAATGTGGCAATCCTGTTGGAATGCTGTTTCTATGACCTATTTTGTGTTTACTCTTTTTTGTTGTTGTTACGAAACAGTGACGGCGAGTTGTGTCTCTCAAACCAGAGGTTTCCTATTACCATTGTTAATGATTTATAGGTTTAAATCCTATCAACTAGCTCTGTGTGTGTTACTCGGTGTTATGTCCATGGTAGCCCATGGTGTTATGTCCATGGTACAGTCGTGTCAAGGCACAAATGCTCTCCATGAAGCACTTCTGCTGGTGAGTTGCACAAGCAGTTGTAACAGGGTCAAGGCATTGATTGCACAATTTAGTTGTACTGTCGTTGCCAAGGCAGAATGCCTGACACGTTTAAGACAGGTGTAACTTTATGTTTTGCCTTGACAAACAAAATTCCAGCCATAGAAATCCAATGGCAATATGTTTCTTTATAACAGTTTTGATATTGTACTTCTGTAACTGTTCACTTCCTGTAAACCTCTAGAAGTGAGAGAATAATGCCTTTGTAGGAACGCCAGAGTACCATAAACAGGTTACCTTTCATGCCTATCAAGTTGAACATTGCAGAATTTGGGGAGTGGTGAGAAAGAAAAGATCAAAAATTGTCTTGGCTACATGTAGAATTTTCAGGATCTGTATTTAACCTAAGGTTCCAAGATGGAGATTGAAAACATAAAGAATTGATTGGAAATGTGTTGATAGTAGGGATATAAATCTTTATTTTGTTTTAGTATATGAGAATGATTTATTTTTATTAATTTTTTTGCATTTGGGGACTTTCATGAGAAATTCATAGAGGTGGTGGTTTTTTTGTTTGGTTTGGTTTGTTTTTTTTTGGCAAAAACTGCATTCTGGACAAAATGCAAGTTTTTAATGTAATGCTGTTGTTAAGCAGAGGGAGGCCCTGATCTTTTCATTCTCAGGCACCAAAATAAAAAAATTTCACAGCAGTTGTAATTGTTGGGTGTTTTAAAGTCGCAAGGCTCCCTTTTTCACAGATGGTGAAAAAGTATAATTACAAACCATTAGGGGTCTTTATCAGTTTCTGTAGACAAAGGACTACCAGTTATTCAAAGCATTCTTTACTGCAGCTGGCTCATCAGTTTGGGAAACAATGTCATGGATTACATCAGAGGTCATCAACCCCCTGTCTGCGGCCCAGTGACGGTCCGTGGCCTGAGCCAGGCCGGGCTGCAGAGACAGACCTCCCACCCCTGCATAGCTACTGTGCGCACATGCGAGCATGCCAGTGTCAGCGCTCCCCCACCCCTTCATGCATGCACCCTCGTGAAGGGGTGGGCAGGCAAATGGGTGGGCGTGCAGGCATTCCTGCGCATGTGAAGGGGTGGGGGAGTGCTCACACTGGCGCTGGTGGGCACACACACGCTCCCCCACCACTTCGCACATGCTCCCAAGAGCACCCGGGCACACCTGCATGAACATGGGGTGGTGGTGCCCTGCCTTCCTCAGAGGCTTAGCCAGTCCACAGTCCCAAAAAGGTTGGGCATCACTGGATTACATACATAAACCTTTAGCTTGATCTGGATAGATCCTGTTATAGTCATACTGAATGGCTAGAATCCTGTTGACTGCCAAACCTGGCCATTTATGAGGTACCAGAGAGGATTTTATTTGCCCGATTAAGACAAAAGCCAGACATGCAGCCAAGAAAGACTCTGACACTAATTGTCAGGTCGAATTAGCTGTGGCAAGTTATACAGTACAAACCTTATGGGAACTGTATTGGAGTTCAGTCCAGTGAATGAGAATTGCCAGATCTGAAATAATTCTTGAGCCACATGTAAGAATGGTATCTCTCTGACAGGAGTGGGGGACCTTGGGAATTCCAAATATTTCATTTTTCTACTCCCATCATCCTTTATCATTGTTCATCCTGACTATAGGGGTTTTAGGAGTTCGAATGGAGAACCAAAGGTATAAAGCATGCAGTATTCCCTACATTTGAAAACTGGCTGTGTTCAGTGGAATCCTAATCTTTTGTCCACAGCACAGTAACTAAAGATGTACCATTTAGTGAGTGTTTTTTTAATCACATTTGGGTGTCTGTCTGTGTGAGGGTTCGTCTTTTCGTTCTCCCTTTTCTCTGAATAAAACGTGAGATTTGTTCAACTTTGAAACAGGGGTAAGGTTTATTGGGGTATTTAACAAGTAACCAGTGTCCACATTGGCAAAGAAGCTACCACGTTCTCTAGACTCACAAAGAGAGTATGGCTCAATAAAAAGCTGACGACATATACCAAGATCCAGGTCTATAGAGCCTGTGTCCTGAGCACACTCCTGTACTGTAGTGAGTCCTGGACCCTTTGTGCACTGCAGAGGAGGAAGCTGAACACCTTCCATATGCGTTGCCTCCGACACATTTGTGGTATCACCTGGCAGGACAAAGTTCCAAATAGAGAAGTCCTAGAACGAGCTGGAATTTTTAGCATGTATACTGCCTCTAGGAAACAGGAAGATAATCTTTCTTGTCCTTTTTTTGCTTTCTAGGGGATGGTGGCTGTATCTGGAAGCTTATCAGTTCTCCTGGATTCAATAATTTGTGCCCTAGGTCCTTTAACGTGTTTGACATCTCAGCTACCTGAATTAAATGGTTGCCCTAAACATGTTTTGGTAAGTTCATTCTTATTTTTGAATGTTCTTGTCGGATATTAGCCCTTACCGCTTCCTACTTCATGGCATGAGTTGTATTTGTTACTTCATACTTCCTGGGGTGCTGCCTTTCAGCACTGTACATTGTCACTGTACCCTCCATCTCTACAGTTCATGTAATGCATGTGGATAATTCTTCGTATGATATGCTGGGAAGGTGAAGGGACACCTAACACATGTACCTCGTTTTTACACAGAATCCGTAAATTGCGCCATTGATACACAAGCTGTTAAGTGATCCATAGAGTCTAGACATCTTCTCTGTCTGTACCTCTATTCCAGGGTTAATCCTATTTTCTCATTATTATAGTATTTTGTACATGAGTTGAATGTGATAGCATTCAACTCCATCAACAGATACTTCTTTCATTGCTACATTATTAGTTATTGTAGTATTTTTGCAAGATTGTATACCTACTAGACGTCGGTTATGGAGTAATGTAAATGAACAATAAAGTTCTTACCCTGAATGTGCACCTATGTTGGAAATTTTTTATTAGTGTTTTTTGAACATATTTAATTACTTAGAATGAAACCACCACCACCCCCAAATTTAAAACTGTAATGCAAGACAACATACCAGTTCATTTTGAAATGGCAAATGCCAGGAAAGGTAGTCTCCTAAAACAGTATTTTGGTGTTTTTTATTTACTAGTTACCTTTCTAAGAGGCTCTTGTCTTTCCTTTCCTGCACTGGAGTCCACACCTAACGAAAGTTGTTGTATATCTTTTAAAGGGATAGCATGCTGTTATATAGCTACCTGTCCATAGCAAAACTCTGCTACAATTTGTTACATACACAGTATCATGTTGTTTAGAAATAACATCAAAATGTTAATGTTGATTTATACTTGCACAATCAGAAATAGTATGAGTGTTGGGGGCAAAATTGATTAGGTGCTGGGTGCCTGATGGTACATTACCCCAAGAATGTAGTCACCTTCTCCTGAATGAGCAGCAATTTGCTGCCAAAGACTTATGCAACAGTGAATGTCTTTAATGAATTTTGTGAGTGAGTGGGGACTTGAATGTTGGTCTTGCTGTCCTAAACTGGCATTTCAACCAGAATACCCCATTGGCTGTGCAATACATCTTTTGCCTTTGGGGGAAGGGCAGACTTTTTCCAACTCTTGAAATATTTCAGAGAAGAGGCTGTGCCTCATACAACATGCTGCCCATATTTTCTACCAGTAGGTCCTGTGTTACCTAAAGTAAGTTTACATCCTTGACATCTTATGAAAAGTACATTGAGTTTAAAATATTTATAGCCTGTCTTTCCAAGGATGTTTAAGGGAGCTTATCTCTGAAAAATTAGAACACAATGCAGCAAGCTAAACATTCTCTCAGCTTAAATTCGTGACAATATCTAAGCAGATCTCAGCATAGTTTGCTAAAAGCAGAAAATCCACAGTTGGCAGGATCTTAATGGCTTTCTGAATGATAGTGCATAACCATTTAAAGGCTATGGAAACGTGTGCCTTGGAGTTATGTACAAATTTTTCCATTCCCATCATCCCCTTTTTATCTATATTGCTGAAGTCCACACCATCCTGAGGTCTAAAGTGACTACTTTCCTATGAGAACAGTACTGAAAGAACATAACAAGGTGCGGAAGACTACCAATATTAACTAGGCAACTAAGACAAGCCAAGAATCATGGGCTTGGCCTTAAAATAAATGGGTATGTAGGCGTATGTAGTATCATTGGTAATTTAAAATCCAGTCCTCTGTTGGTTCAAGTGCAACTATTAAAACAGACCAAACGCGAAATATTTTCCTATTTATCTGAAAAGTTATGCAGACTTTTGTGTTTCTCTAGGAACTCCCTGAAACATTTTCTGTCTCTCCTTATGTTTTTAGGTGTTTTTTTTCTTATTTTGTTTTCTCTTGAATTAACTTGAAAAGCATGTGCAACATAATGAATTGGCTCACCTTATTTTTTTTTCTTTTTTCAGTCAAACACATTGGACAATATTGCCTACATAATGCCTGGGCTCTGACAGGCAAAGGACTATGTGAGGTTACTTGCTACCACGAAATTGGTGTACATATGCATATATTCGTGTGGTAAACTGGCATTTTTTAAGAGATCGACATGTAGGCTTTTAACGAATAGAAATACAACACTCTAACAAATGATTTTTATGAAATGTTCTAAACCCATTTTGTGGGCAACAGGGTTGAAGACTCTCAATACTTTGGCCTTCACATGGAAGAAGACAGAAGTCAATAGGATCAGTATTCCTTGGCAAAATTGAGAAGGTTTTGTGGACACAATTCTGTTAATATTTTAAATGACAAAAAACCTATTTCTCTGAGAGAAATCAGTTGTATGGAAAATTTATTAACTGAAGAGTCCATGTCCATGTTAAAATCAGCGCTGGAAAAGAATGTTGCAATTCACTTTTTTCCCCAAGAGCGTGTCTTAACACCAAGAATCAGCCTGTTGAATCTCCTGATCATACGTTGTGGAGGATAAACACTGATTCTGGTGTGGTGAGTGATTTTTTTTTCTTAAATTGTTAAGGGAAACAAGGACATCTTAATTTTAAATGTACAGTAAAATGGGGGAAGAGGGATGTCATCTAGCTCCTCCATAGCTTTTAACTACATTGTGATCTGTGGCATTTGGAATATTTATTGAGTTATGAATTGGATGTATATTTAGTTAGTAATGAAGTAATGGAAGAAAAGGAAGAGGGTCCCTAATGAAATCCAAAAGGCCCACTACCTGATTAATCCCAATTTTAATAAACCATGGTCCCCAGTAACATTTTTTAAAAAGTAGCTAAGGATATTACCAAAAGAGATAAAGGGGGTAGGCCCCTCTACCACTCCCTTCCAATAATTATTTATCACCAGCAGTAAACGGGAAGAGTCCTGTACTAATGGTGCTGATATGTACATTGTAGAAGCAGTGATTAAAGTGACATTTAGTGGGTTATTGTTGAGAAAAACAGTGGTTGGACAGGCACTGTATCCCAATTTAGTTCTTTGAGTGCCAGTTCCTCTTTGGAAAAGCACTTCATACTTTCACACACTTAAGTGTGGTATTTTTACTATGTTTACTTACCCTTTCATAGGTAGTCTCTGTATTAGATTAATTTATATTGTACATTTCTGTATATAGCTAGAATTAAAATAAATCAAAATTCCTTTCAGAAGTATATAGAAAATGTGAGCTAGCTCTTATCTGAACTTCCTTCAAGAATTAAACATCTATGAGGGTCAGAAATGGGAGGAAATAGCAGGAAAGGAATTGCAAGACAGAATTTTGCATTCTGTCCTAAACCTGTTTGCTTTTTGTAATGAAGAGGCTGACATGACAAGACAGTAATTTTGATAGCAGGAGTAAATTCTGTGCATTATTCTTCCAAGCACTTAAGAGTTGTCATTTCTTATTAGCAGAATTATAAATTGATTAGGATCAAACAAGCATTTAAGTGTATGAACACTGTTTCTACTATCCCTCTTTCCCAATTCATCCAAACAATTTGTTTATTCACTGGTCTCTTCCACTTAAACCTAAGAAGGACAAGCTAGCTGTAGTACGTACTATTCTATACATAAGCCCATGTGGTAGAGTCTGCACATCTGATCTTATTGTCTGAACAGTGCCTCAAGCAGCATTTGAAGACAAACTTGGTAGGATCTCTTTAACTCTAGTTATCTGAATCTTTGGGTTATGTTCAATGGTTTCCCTCTGCTGATGGAAGACTCATTTTTCCAGCAGCATATTACTTTAATCAGCAAGAGTCAGTTCAACAGAAGTTTGGACTATTTGGAATAGAATGTGTGGAAAGGTGTATTGCAGGAAGGATGGGCAAGAGGTGAACATTGCTTTCCACTCCATTTCTGCTAACAAAAGCTGCTATTGGACCAGTGGCTTCTGTAAGTGGTAGAACATCAATGGATCTATTCCTTTATTTCTAGACGGCATCTGTAATGGGCCTTTGCAAATTACAGGCCTGGGTTCCATGGGAATCCCAGCTTCTCCAGGATAAGTGATGTGCCGGTATATCCTGCTTACATGTTCCCACTTAAAGTGGGGACAACTAAATAAACAGAACTTTGCTCTGTGGTTTATTGTGTCATCTGAATACAGGCACAGCATTGTGTTCCCCCACAACAAGCCAGCAACAACAAAATCCAAGGTTCAGAGATTCCTGTTGTCATGTCATGTGATAGGATTCACTGTTTAGCTTGGATTCTAATACTGTACTTAGATGTTAGATGATGTAATAGGAAGGGGGATCTGCTTCGATTTTGCTATATGTGCTATGGCAAACTTGAAGTTTTTAAACATAAATAAATGTATTGATGTACTTTTATTTTATATTTATATCCATTTGTATAATATGTATCTTGTGATGTTTAGTAATGGAGAGCTTTGGACATAAAACCTTGTAGTTTTCTACATTGATTATTTGCTATCATTGACTCCAAATGGTATTGTATGAATGTTTTTCTAATGTATATAATTTTTTTAAAGAACAGAAGTATACATCTTTATTCTTTATTTGTTGGGAAATACCTAATATGTTGAATTTTGCCTGAATGCTTAGTACTGGCAAATGCTTAGTGCTGGCAAAGCAGTTTGTTCAGTCTGCAACATCTGATCCACATCTCTGTGGATTTCCTGCACACCTACATAGTTCTGGTTGTGTTTTTTTTTATTTTGTTTCATTTTTTAAAATTCTTCATCAAGAATTTATCTTTGTTAGACCTTTAGATTGGAAATCTTTATCTAAAGTGGTGCGTATCAGTAGGAACAGTTGCTATAAAACCCATTAACTATAATTGGATTTAAGCACCATTCTAATATAAGACCGGAGTTAGCAGTAGCTGCTTATAGCAAACCAAGCCAAAAGGTGAACTATATGAAGAGTACTTTCAGCATATTATGATAAAAGTCACTGGAAAAGAGTGGTGCTGGGGGAAAATGAAGAGAGCAGGAAAAGATAACGAAACAAGATGAATTGACTCAATAAAGAAAACCATTGTTTTTGTATTCGAGTAGGCTGTTAAAAATATTAGCTTTTGAAGGTCACTTAATAGAAACAACCAAACAGAAACATCAAAGATAAATAGCATTAGGTTGGTATATTCAGACTCTACCATGTTTCCTTGAAAATATGTCAGGGTCTTATATTAATTTTTGCTCCAAAAACGCATTTGGGCTTATTTTCAGGGGATGTTTTTTCATCATGTACAACAATCTACATTTATTTAAATACAGTCATGTCATCATCTTCTGGTTGCTGCACAATGGTGGAGAGCAGGGTTTCACTTAACTAGGGCTTAGTTTTGGTTTAGGGTTTATATTACCAGCATCCTGAAAAATCCTATTAAGGTTCATTTTCAGGTTAGGTCTTATTTTCAGGGAAAGGGTATATACTACTTATCTGAAAATCGGGTAGGGTGAGCTCTCAGGAAATGCGAATTGTAAACCCTCCTGTTGCAATTTAAGATTGTCTTTCTAGTCTTCTGCAACAGGCTACAAAACTTACTTATAGTTACTAACATTTGTATAGTTCTTCCACCACCACTGCTTTCAAAGCAGATTACGGTAATTAAGTGGAGCACTTCTGCCTGATTGCTGAGGTTGTGGTCCTCCCGCGTCTCTTGTGGCTGGGTGGGAACATAACGCAAGCCTTCGTTGCTTGGCAGGCATTGCAAAAGAAAATCTTGCAAAATAACAGGCGCAATAAGGGATACTATATTGGGTTAGAACGTATCAGGCGCAGCGGCTCCCTTGCAAGGGCAGCGTTGTGGGCAAGGGTGCTCGCAATGTCTTGTTTCTTCTTTCCTAGTTGAATTTTGCCTGAATATTTCACTGAGCAACTGCTTACTAATGGCAAAGCACTTTATTCCGTCTGAGGCACATCTCTGTGGCTTTCTTGCACATCTGGAGCGAAGAGGCGCCATGCCGCGATTTCTGGAGCAGCCTTTCCCGCTTGAGCCTCCATCCATGCCCGGCTGACAGGACGGGGGATGCTAGGAGACGGTGTGGCCCTCCGTGACGTCACTCACTGCCACTGTGGTCATAAACCAACAGACTACCTCAGGACGCACTTCTGAAAACAAAAACAGATGCCATCCCAAGCCTGCTTGCCCGGAAGGGGAGTCCCACTGAAGCCAGTGAGGCTTACTTCCGAGTAAGCATGCTTGGGATAAAGCGAGGCGCCAGCTCCGCGTCCCACTCAGCTCCTCCTTCCAGGCAACGCCTCAAGCTCGCCCTCTGAGCTCGGCCTCGAAGCGAGAGGGCGCGCGCGCGCTCGTTCAAGGGAGAGGAGGGCCGAGGACACGCCCCCCCCACTCGCTCCCGAGGGGGCGTCACATGACGCGCTCCCGAGGCCGTGTCAGCTGATCTCCGCTGAGCTGTGGCGGCGGTGACGGCGCGTTGGCAATGGAGTTTCTCCTGGGCAACCCTTTCAGCTCTCCCGTAGGGCAGCGTATCGGTAAGACCGCCAAACCTGGCTTCTCCCCCCGACCTCTTTATTTTTATTTTTTACGCATCTCCCTCCAGCTCAGACGTCTATGCCTATTGGGGTGTTTTTTCCAACGATATTTTTTTTTAGTCGCAAGCCGTGAGCTGTTGCGGGTGGGCGGAGCTCTCAGCCCGCGGAGGCGGGGTTGTGGGGGGTTCCTAACCAATAGGAACGTGAAGTTGTTTGGACGGGCAGCGAAGGTGTCAGTCAGTCGGGAGCGAGCGAAAGGGCGGGCTCTCTGGGCGGGCCTGCTGAGCCAATCCTGGCGTGGTGGAGGGGGGGGATTTGAGCCCAGAATAAAGTTTGCTGGTTTGAAGGGGCCACGCCCCCCTTGGGACGAAGCCCCCCCCCCCAAGCGGTTGTTTGTCGCTCGCCTGGGCCCTCTCCTCAGTGGGGGCTCCCCGGGAATAATGGCGAGGGCTCTAGGTTGGCTGTCACGACCTCGACTGAGGGAAACCATTGCTTTCCTCCGTTGCTTCCAAACCCAGACTGAGCTAATAGGTGCGAAGGGAGCAGCATGTGTCACAATAAAAAGTCTTGGCATACCCGTTGCAGGGATGGAGGTGGTGCTTCTGGCCTCTTACCTTTCATTTTTCAGTTCAAGCCAATCTTCAAGGAGGAAAAAACAAATATTCCTAATAAAAATGTCATAAGAATCGTATAACTGTAAAGTTGGAATTGGATCTAAAGGTAATCTAGTCCAGTGGTTAACCTTGGGTTACTCAGGTGTTTTTGAATTGCAACTCCCAGAAACCCCAGCCAGCACAGTTGGTGGTGAAGGCTTCTGGGAGTTGCAGTCCAAAACTCCTGAGTAACCCAAGGTTAAGAACCAGTGATCTAGTCCAACCTTTTTTGCCTTTAGAGGAAAAGTGGTAGGGGAGTAAATAATGTCCAGGCAGGCACTAAGAATCACTCATTTGTGCCTCTCCCTATGAGAGATTGAGATCTTTCCGGTTAGGCAGCAAGCTGTCTTGTGGCACTTCAAAGACTTAAGTTTTATTTGTTAGCTGTGTCTGAAGAAATGAGCTACAGTCTACCAAAACGTAGGTTAAATAAAACACATTAGTCTTTAAGGCCACACCAGAGGATGAAAGGGAGGCATGTCTCAGAGCAGAAAATCAGACTGGTTAAGGAAGATTTTAGCCAGTCATATGAGCCTGGTGTCATGGTAGATTAGTTTATTCTGTGTGCCTTAGATATTCTGCTTGTTCACTGACTAAAAGTCTTTTTAATGTAATTTTTCTTGTTCTCTTTGCAACCTTAAATATCTCTGGCTCCGTGATCTGACAGGGAATTATTACAACAATCTACGGATAAGTGAGGCAGAGAAACCCATTCACTGGTGCCCATGTGGGTCAGTCCCACAGTCAAGGATGCTTTCCAAGTTTTCCCCCCACCTTTGGATGTAAGGGTGGTAGTATCCAGTCGCCCTGCTGGAAATGGCAGAGAAGAGCGCTCCCCCTGCCCTGGCTGCCTTCCCTTTCGTTACATTTGGGGATTTTTCTGTGGCAGTTTAGAAATCTCAAGGTACACAGAAAATACAGTTTTTACATATTGTGAGCTCTGAATATAAATAAGAGTGGGGGCAAGGCCAGTTCCTAGATGAAGGGATTCCTGTGTCTGTTAGATTCCTTCATTTTATCTGTTATGTGAAGTGACATACTGTTTGGCAGCTGCCTCTTAACTGCTATTTAAATATGCTACAGTGCCTCTGATACAGTGTTGCTTGAGAATATGGTGGGTAAGTTGTTGCCAGTCGTCTCTGATGTTGAGGGCACCTGGGCTGAATAACTCTTTTTAAAACACATAGCGAAGAATCTTGTTACATGTTAAATGCTAAAAAATTAATTTTGGTTAAAAATATATAAGACCATCTTTGTGTTTTCTGCTGATGTCACTGTTTAGAGTTCCCCCTGCATCTCGTGTGTACACATCACCTGTATAATTAGGACAATACTTCATGTATCTCATTGATGTGTAGTCCATAATAAATTTGCTTAGTTTTTAGGTGCTGTAAAACTCTGGTTTTATTGCAACACACTAATACAATTCCCTATCAATCAATCAATAAAAGAGGATGTAGCTCAGGATGGGTATCAATATTGGGCACTGTCTACAAAGGCTCTAGTGGATTCTCAAAATATGCTGAATGCTGAGGTTCATGTGTGGGCAGGGACAATGTATTCCTAAGGCAGTCCATTGATATCCATAGCAGATGTGCTGTGGGAGCTCTGTAAAGATGGGGACATTGGGATGATCCTTTACTGAGCTTGGTGTCAAAAATCACAGAGGAGACATTTTGGTGTCAGGAACTGCAGAGAAGAAGTTATAGATTCACTTCAGACCCAGTCTGCTACTCTGTCTCTGAGGCATCATAGGTAAAAGATCTACATGTGCCTTCTGAAGAACAATACTTTTACCACTTTGCATATTAACTGAAAGCCTTCTCTTCTGACTTTATAATAAGTAATTCATGTAAATTTGGAATACGTTCTTGGTAATACAGTGGAGGAACAGAAAAACAATTTGAGAATAGGTGTCTGCTTAATCCAATATATTATTTTGCCACGGTTACTTCTGGATGTACCAAATGTTGGTAAAGATTTGAATTCTCTAGTTTTGTTATTCAGCTAGCTTCTAGCAATTAAAGATGCAGTTAAGCGTCTAGTGTACAGGAAAGCAGATGTCTCTGCCTGTTCATATTCAAGTCCCAGGTAACTAACACAGTTTCAACTGGAGATCATTAGATGAAAAGGCACGAGGAAAACTTTGTTTAAAGTTGTGTACCTTGCCAAATTCAGTTTGCAGAATCTTAAAGGATGTTCAATCACTGTCGTTTTCTAGTTGTAATCCCCTGTCCCTTTTTTTCTACTGCTTCTCCCTTCTTCTTTTTTCTTACCAGAAAGAATCTGTTAATATGAAAAAAAGGTAGAACAGCCATACAGTCCTTTTTGATTGATGCCACTAGATGCTGCCTGTCTTAAAGGACTATTCACTCTTTTAAATTTGGAGGGCACAGCCAGAACCAACAAATGGACCATTAAGACTGTAAATGTCCCTATAGGTACCTGCCCCATGGGAATCTCACTGAGATTATTTCCACACTGAGGGAAACAAAGGACAAAAGATTGTTGAAATGTGTGGATACACATGTAGGTGTGGTTCCCAACTGCTGAGCATGTGGTGTTCAGGACCAAAGGTATTGTGCATGTCTGCTTGATGCATGGCCTTGGGATAGTGACTAATCAGTGAAGGATGATTCAGACTTTGAGACAGAAGCAAGAAAAATATGAAATGACAATCTTATTCTCTTTGTAGCGTTGTGGAATTTTTTTATTATTATTTCACTCATGTGCTACACTGGATTGTTATTAGGAGGTCACTAATCTCTAATCTGAAAAGAAATGCTAGGATGAACTGAACAGGCTTGACAACTCTGCTTAGCCTTCACTAGAATCTCCAGATCCAACAGGCAGAACTAGATTGGAAGTGGCTCAAGATTGCCAGCCAGAGCCAGATTCACTTAAAATTTAGAAACAGAATGCTGCTGAATACATGCTCAGACTAAGAATTTGTCTTCAAAGCCAGAATTAATCTCACAATCACTTCACATATTATTCACTCCTAGTTCTACCTTACTAGGATTTTCATTTCCATTTCACCAAGCTTTTTTTTAAAAAGAAAGCAATCTTTTTTAAAAAAAAATTTTAATAATTGAACATTACAAATGTCTGCTGATCTATGACAACCATCTCAAGATCTACCAGTAACTCCCAGTCTTCCCACTCCAGTATACAAAACAATATGTTCAGAGCTTGAAAAATATCCCTCCTGAACTGCAAGTCCCAGAAACCCCTAGTCAGCTTGGCTACTGGGAGATCTGGAAACCAAAGTCCAAAAGAGAACTTTTCCAAGTATTGTGGCTAAGTAGCTCTTTATCTGTTCATTGAGTAAAAATGGGATGAAATTGTAATGTTTCAGTACAAACATATTACTGAAAGAAATCTGTGTTCGTTACCTACTTTGAAGCATTATGTTCTTCAAGAGAGACAGATATATTGTTTGCTGCAATGTACAGTTGTGTCTTGCTTTACGATTGCCCAGCATTACAACGAAACTGCATTACGACAATCTTTTTGCGATTGCAATCATAAAACGATGGTCTAAATGGTTTTTTTTCGCTTTGCGATGATCAGTCCCCTGCTTTGGGAACTGATTCTTCAGAAAACAACGATTTTAAAACAGCTGATCGGCGGTTTCAAAATGGCTGCTGGGTAAACAAAATGGCTCCCCGCTGTTTTCTGGGACGAATTCCTCACAAGACAGGCAGCAAAAACGCTGCCCTATGGAGGATCTTCGCTGGATGGTGAGTTTTGACCCCAGTGGAATGCATTTAAGGGGTTTCAATGGGTTTTTTTCGCTTTACAATGTTTTCGCTTAACGGTGATTTTCCTGGAACGGATTATCACCGTTAAGCGAGGCACCACTGTAATCAGCACTGAACCTCATTTCATAGAGAATAGGTAGGCTAATTGTTTGCTGCTAAATCCCTATTTGAAAATTGCCAAATATGCTCATTCAGTACAGAGTATTAAGAATAGTTTTTAAGACTTTGGTATTCCTTCTCATCTTCTTGATGCTTACTGATCCTGAGAATCCCAGAAATCTTCTCTCCCGCTCTCTCCTGTAGACAACAAGTAAACACTTCAGTGTCACAGCCTACCAGCACCCTTTGAAATCTAAAATAACCTGACCAGCCTGTGGAACATAGTGCTTCAGTGTTATATGACAAACTGCCAATCACCACACCCTGCTAATGCCTTTCAGAACTGAGTTTGAAATTTGCCAGGGCTGCTGGTGTGCATTGCCAGCTTGGAATGTTTAGCTTGTCAGTCAGACAAAATCTCTAGTCCTCATATTTGATAACCTACAATTTGGATGTTCATTCCACAGTGGCTTCTGTGGCTGTT